TATTTGTAGCTTTTTGAGCTTCTTGGATGAATGTGTTCTCATCTTTCTTGATACTAGGGAAGTTTTCTGCCAGCAAATGTTTGAAAATTTTCTGTTTTCTGTTTCTTCCTGTTCTGGAATTCTCATCATGAGTAAATTGTTTCTCTTGATGGTGCGCCACATAACACTTATGCTTTCTTCACCTTTCTTCATTCTTTTTTTCGAATTGTTCCTCCAACAGGTTGGTATCAAGGGATTTGTTCTCTATTTGCTGATTCTGACTTCCACTGATTCTAGTCTACTCCTGTAGATTCCTACTACTTCCAATGCACTATATATTTTAGTGTTAATCTTCTGCATTTGTAGTTGCTATTTTTGTACACTTTCTAATTGTCTATTTATTTTGTCATACTGTTCTTGTTTTGTTTTCCTGAATTCTTCTAGAGTTTTGTCTGTGTTTGCCTTGATCTCTTTTTTGATCTGTTGGAGGGCCTTATATATAAGTCTTTTGCATTCCTCACTAGATGGTGCCATTACCATTTCTTCCTCAAGGAGGTTTGTTGTTGTTATTGTTGTTATTTGCCATCGAGTCAGTGCCTTAGGCACTATGCTACCAGAGCTCCTTCAAGGAGGTTTACTGGTTCTTTATTCTGGAGCCATCTTGCCCGGATTCTTTAGGTGATCTGATGTCATCTGTTGTTTCTGCGTGGTTAAGGTGTAATTATATTCATTTATTTGATTGTATGTTTGTTTGCCATGTCCAGATTTTCTGTTATGCTTTGTTTTGATGTATCCAGGCAAACAGTGCTACGCTAGTTACTAATCTAGTCACACTGAAGCACTTGACACTTGTCTCCAGGTGGGTGGAGTAGAAGCTGGATGTGTGAGTGCAGGTCTCTGTTTACTGGTCTTACTGAGCCACTATGGGCTGGTTGGGTGGGCATTAGCTACTCTCTGTTGTCAGTGCAGTGGTACAGGAGCAGATAGTGGCACTTGCCAAGTGAATGGGGTGGCAGATGTGGCAGGTGTGGCTGGCAAATGGAGGCATGGTCACAGCATCCCACCAGATGAGGGATGAGTGGTGGGTGAGTGCATGCAGAGTCATGTTGCCACTGCCTCACAAAGTTGGGAGTTGGGTAGCAGGCCAGCTTTCACATGCTTGTCACTCCTTGCCAGATGCAGGGGAGAGGGAGGGGCATACAGTGGTTGAGGGAGGAGAAGAGGGGGAACAGCACAACTGAAGATTTCATCAAGCTCACCATGTGCATCAAATTGGATAAGAGGCCTTCTGTATTTTTAACACCTGGTAAAACATGACTCCTTAAATATTTTAAGTATTATTATTTTTGAGATGTGAAGATCAGCATATCTCTAATGTTTTCTCCACAACATTTTTTTGCCTTAGCTTTTTTGATGGTATTAAAGATGGCAATTATGTCATTGATGTGATGTCTACCAAAAGTACCCTGATTTCCCTGAATGAGTTTGACAATGACTGTTACAGAAAGTATTCTAAAAGCATGAAGAGATATTGATGATCAAGATGAGAAGGCTTGAGATGAAATATGTAGGATTGAAATACAAGCAATCTGTTTCATGGGATCTACAACCAGATCAACAGAAACCTTGTTGACTGCTCCTAAACAAAAGGCAACAACAATAAAAATGCATAAAGGAGTCCAGATGTATCATACACCCAAGAAGGCTTTATCTATGGCACACAAAACCATCATTTCATAGCCCCTCTCCAGAGTTTCAGAGTTTCATGGTTCTTAGTATTCCATAAATTCTCAACTTTAAGTTTGCTCCAGGTGAAGACCTTTGTCACCCACCCTAGTCATTCTTCCCTTTAGCTGTATGTTGAAATCCCCCAAGAGGCTCAAAAGTCCCAATGCCTGGGCCCCCTCCTGGAGTAATTCAGGAAGAAACTCTGGAGCTGGAACCTGGGAATCAGCATTTTAAAGCTTTCCAGTCATTCCAAATTGCAGCCAAGTTTCAGAACCGTAGATAATGTGTCCCCCGAATCCCTCCTACTTGTCTCTGCCTAAGAGTCTTTAATTCTGATCTCCTCCCACACCTGCTCTTGTCTCTTCCCTCTTTTCTCCAAGTTATTTTTTAACTAAAAAACCAAACTCACTGCTGTCAAATCGGATCTGACTCATAGCAACCCCTCCTTGGGTTTCCGAGGTGGTATCACTACAGAAGTAGATTGCCCAATCTTTCTTCCGAGGAGTGGCTGATGGGTTTGAACTGCCAGCCTTCTGATTAGCAGTCAAATGCCTTAGGCACTACACCACCAGAGAAGGCCCTGTTCATATTCCACCCATGGAGTCTACCCTGACAACTGTGACCCATATTAATCTCTTTTTTCTCTGACCTCCCTGAGTCTCACCATTTTGCCTCTGTGACAGGACATGGAGGAACTGGTGGACAAAGGGTTGGTGAAGGCTATTGGCATCGCCAACTTCAACCACTTCCAGATTGAGAGGCTCTTGAACAAACCTGGACTGAAACACAAACCAGTGGTTAACCAGGTAAAGTCTGCTTAGTAAAAGAGTAACTAAGAGTCTTCCCTTACTGCTTCTTAAACATTTGGAGGAAAGTTCAGTGCTGTGTACTGCATCTCCTCTAAGGAGCCTGTGATGAGGATGCTTCAGGGAGGTGTAACACCGGTCACAGGGTCTGACATCCAAGTGGACTAGTGGGCTGTGCTTGATCTGTGTGCTTGGCTATCTTTTTCATGTGAACTCTTGATGAGCTGCTCCAAATGCAGGCCAACTTCCTACTGATGGAGGTTGCTTCCTTTTGCAGATTGAGTGTCACCCATACCTCATGCAGGGGAAGCTGATCCAGTACTGCCAGTCCAAAGGCATTGCAGTCACTGCCTACAGCCCCCTGGGCTCTCCAGACAGACCTTGGTGAGGCTCCTCAAGGCTCTGTCTCTCGATGATCTTTAAAAAATGACTGATCATTTATAAGGTTGTTTTAAGACTATAAGCCATTGGATAGAACAGTAAGTCTAAGACAATGTGTTCAACACACCTAAATGAGATTACAGTGGTTAAAATGGGATGTTTTTCAATAGCAACATGCCTGCCCCTTTACAAATATTCAGGTTCAGCCACTCAGAGCTGGACCCGCCTTTGCACAAGACAAGATTTAGAGTCATGGTGCAATCAAAGGTAAGACAAAGCATTTAGGTCCTTCTGCCCATCTCTCAGATGGAGGAGACTGAGGAGCAGCCTTGGAGCCATCATAATTATAGGGATGTTCCACTACACATGGTTACCATGGCAATTATTGGAGGAGACTGATAGGAGCAGCCTTGGGGCCATCATCATGGAAAGGATGTTCATCTACACATGGTAACCATGCCAATTGTTCATGTCCACAATCTTTCTGCCTCTAGAGCCAAGCCAGAGGACCCTTCACTGCTGAAGGACCCCAATATTAAGGAGATCACTGCAAAGCACAACAGAACCCCAGCCCAGGTACATTGTTACTACATTTCTTCCCTTGCAATCCAGAGCCCCATGTTTCTTTCCTTGTGTTATCTTCACTTAACTCCTTGAAGGGGAAGAACAGGGCAGATGAAACCTGGTCAGGCCACTCCTGAAAGTTGTATTGGGTCTCCAGGAGACACACTGTTGTCTGAGACATGGATGTCTCTGTACAGTAGCTTCCAGTGAGCCTGATCACCCAGCAACCAGAGTGCCTTTGGTGGCAGAGTTCTGGGTTGAGATCTAGCTCTACCATGTGCAACCTTGGGACCCAACACTGGCCCAGCCACTGTCCTAGTTCCTAATAAGAAAATCTTGGAATCTGCCTCTTCAGGCTGTTGTGAGAATTCCAGGAGACTGTCCAGTGGGGACTGCTAGTGTCTGATAGGGACATGTTCAGTCCATAATCACTGTTGTAATGAAGGCAGGGAGCTACAGGTAGGTTCCTTTATTCTTTTGTGGAGGGAAGGTCCTGGTGGTGAGTGAAGCATGATGTCTTCCATACACAGGTTCTGATCCAATTTCATATTCAGAGGAATGGGGCTGTGATCCCCAAGTCTATGACCCCAAAGCACATTCCTGAGAATTTCCAGGTAAGTGTTTGGTGGTTGACCCTGGTTTTCCTCAGCAGAGAAGGAGAGACTCTTTTTACTAGGCTCCTTATTCCATCCTTGCATTGTCTATGGGCCTGGCCCCTCCCTACCACGCTGTCATCTCCCAGACCAGGGCACTGACCTCAGTAAGAGCTAAAGGGTGGATGACCCGGGGGCCAGAGATGTGCTGGAGTCACCTGTCTCACTTAACCATACACAGAGCAGACTTCCTGGCTTCACCCACCACACTCTACACTGGAGGGCCTGGTCCATCAGGAACAATTCTGCAGTGGGAAGCCCATAAGCCTGGCCTCCCTTCCCTTTACTTTCCAAGCCCATAATGACTGCAGTCTTCATATAGACCTAATGTGATAGTTGAAGATGTGTCAACTTGGCTGGACTCCACTTGTGAGTGGTGGTTCCCATGATGGATCACATTACTGCGTCCTAAGCGGCCGGTCAGTCTAGGGGGAGTTTCCCCAGGGGTGTGGCCTACCTGTAA